CCTCTGAGAAGTGTCTGTTCAGGTCCTTGGCCCATTTGTTGATTGGGTTATTTGTTATCTTATTGTCTAATTTTTTGAGTTCTTTGTATACTCTGGATATTAGGGCTCTATCTGAAGTGTGAGGAGTAAAGATTTGTTCCCAGGATGTAGGCTCTTCATTGATGATATCAAAAAGATTTACAGGTAGCTTCCCCTAGTGTCTTAAGGAAAACCCCACATTCCTGGTAATGAGAATTGTTTATTAGATCAGCTAGAAATAGTGCTAGTCAGAACACCAATGTGAATGGCAGGACAGTGAGATTGCTGGTACTTATTTACTACATGTCCAGAGCATCTACAATATTGTACTTTGAGCTGTCACATTATAGATGTGAGTCTATGCAGATGCAGCTCCCTGGAATTGTGAAGTGCACACCCAGAGCAACTGTATATGATTGTTCCAACTGTCTTTTAAAAACCTTGGGAAAATAGAAACAGAAATAAATCCCACATTTAGGCTGTAATATAATTATGTTAGACAACCAACAAGAGGTTTTTCTTATTTTTAGAAGAAAATGTGTTTTTCTTGGACTGAGAAATTTAATAGCTAAATTATACATGCAATGGATTCAAATTGAGATTTTCAAACAGATTTGCCTCAGTTCACATGTTCCATGCATTACTGAACCCAAACAGCTATCCTTCAGAGTACAAGTGGCAAGACTAATGAAATTAGTATGCCTTACCTTCAAGTGGCATTTTATACAAGTGTCCAGGGTACTAGCAGCTGTTTACATGGTTGCTATAAAAAAGTTGCTCACATACTAACAGAACTATAGGGGAGGGCTGGGTGTGATATGGCACATGACTGTAATCCTGTTGGCCAGGAGGCTGAGACAGGAGGATCACGAGTTCAAAGCCAACCCCAGAAATGGTGAGGTGCTTAAAATACAAAATAGGGCTGGTGATGTGGCTCAGTGGGTGAGTGTCCCTGAGTTCAATCCTGGTATCAAAAAAAAAAAAAGATATAAAAAATAGGGCTGGGGATGTGCCTCAGTGGTTGAGTGTTCCTGAGTTCAATCCCCAGCCCCCTTCCAAAAAAAAAAAAAAAAAAAAAAAAAAGAACTATAGGGTAGGCGCCTGGCATGGTGGCACATGCCTGTAATCCCAGTGGTTTAGGAGGCTGAGGCAGGAGGATCGTGAGTTCAAAGCCAGACTCAGTAACTTATTGAGGCCCTAAGCAACTCAGCAAGACCCTGTCTCTAGATAAAATATTAAAAAGGGCTGGGAATATGGTTCAGTGGTTGAGTGCCTCTGGGTTTAATCCCCACCAGGTTAAAAAAAAAAGAACTGTAGGGCAGGCAATGCCAATCTAAGCTGAAACAATATCCAAAGCTAGAAAGTTGGGACCAGGCTAAGGAATGGGGTACAACCTAGGGACAAATTTGAAGATAGAGGGGAGGATGGAAAGAAGAATGTGCTATGAAAATTTCTTATAATAAATGAAACATTTTTATCTCTAAAGGCAAAAAAAAAAAAAAAAATAATACTTGAATGCCAGTATCATAAACCATTACCATCCTGAACATGCTTCCATATTAAATTTTAATTTAAACCAGAAAAACATTAATGGTTTTTTAAAAATAATTTTTAGTTGTAGATAAATACAATACTTTTATTTATTTTATGTGGTACTGAGGATTGAACGCAGTGCCTCAAACATGTGAGGCAAGCTCTCTACCACTGAGCCATAACTTCAGCCCACAAGAACATTAATGTTAAGAAACAGTTTTTAGAATCTTTCTTAAGAAAAAGTTGGGGGGCTGGGGATGTGGCTCAAGCGGTAGCGCGCTCGCCTGGCATGCGTGCAGCCCGGGTTCGATCCTCAGCACCACATACAAACAAAGATGTTGTGTCCGCCGAAAACTAAAAAAAAAAAAATAAATAAATATTTAAAAAATAAATAAATAAATAAAAGAAAAAGTTGGAGGGAGGAAAAAAACTGTAAACCAATATGATATACAACATTATCCCCTACCACTTAGGCACATCTATTTCAAAACTTCTGTTTAATTATAGGTAACTCTTTCCTTCATATCAAAAACAATTTTATTTATGTAGGGGTTGGGTAGATATAAGCTCAGTATATATTGCTTCAGTTTTTAAAGGAAATTCTGATACGTAAGAGAAAAATGTTGCATAGTAAGCAAGTGTGCTGAATTTGCCATGTGTAAGAACATGTTTTCTGTCACATGCAAGCTTAGCAATTTTCATCTACTGCCCCATTATACACATTTATATGTTAACAGTAAATTTAAAACTTCATTGTTCCCAGGACATGTAGAAAATTCTAGTGTTTATGTTCTTTAAAAGAACTGAATGACCTAAAGAATACTACTTATTTCTAACAATTCAGTCTTCTTTCTTGTACCACCAAATTAACTGATGCGTTAAAAGTAAACTGGAAACATTTGAAAATATAGCGAGCCCACCACATCTACAGGATTACTGCGTTTTGTGGACTTACAAACAAGCTGGATAGTCTGAAAAGTTTTACTTCCTTCAAATAAATCAGACTTTTTGTCTCTGTTACCTATGCACAAAATTGGGTTCCCAGCCAGGCGCAGTGGCACATGCCTGTAATCCCAGTGACTCCGGAAGTAAGGCCCAAGCAATTTAGCAAGACCCTGTCTCTAAATTTAAAAAAAGGCGGGGTGGGGGGGTGGGGGTGCTGGGGATGTATGGCTCAGTGGATAAGCACCTCTGGGTTCAATTCCTGGTACCAATAAAACCAATCCAACTTAAAATAATCACAACAAAATAAACCGGATTCCCTTTCACCTACAATCTGGTGCTGAGATCCAACAAGGCTGATGGCAGTAAAGTAGAGCTCGGGACTGGGATTTCTCCCATGTGCATTTCAAATCTGAAAAGTTACAAAGCTGCTAGACAAGTTGACTCCCACTCTGGTGTTGCTTGACCTTTTGCTTTATTATCAACCCCCAGGGTACCCTATTTACTGATGTCAACCAGGAGCCTTTTTAGACATTTTCCCATTGAAATTTTAATACAGATGTGCTATAAATCTGTTTTTTGTACGATACGTATATTTGTGCTTTATATTCAAAATTTTCACACACCCTTCTATGAACCATTTTTCGCCTGTTGGGGGCGATATCATCCCTGTTGAAAATGTAGGTTGTGAAATAAAAGCTATATAAACTCAAGCCCACATTTAATTGTCATTATCAACAATGGTTTAACACTCTTCAGTCAAAACAATTATATCTGAATCATTTTCAGAATACAAATCTTTAAAAATATATAATCTATGAAATACATAAAATTGAGTAAAACATTGTCCCAGCAGTCAGTAACACCCTGATTATTTTGTTTTTATTTTTTGCAATTTGTTGGACTCTACTTGATACTTTCTCATGGAACCCAAGACGTGATTACTATTGAATTCTGTACACATTTCAAAAAGGGAAAAACAAAAACAACCTTTGAGAAAACATTTTTTTCTGGATGGTGGCAATTGATAATTTGTAAAAGAAAATAGAAAACGCCCATAGAGAGTCTCATAATTTTCGATTTACAGAAGAAATAGACTAACTTTTGCTACTCACAAAATAAATGGCCCACAAATCTATGTGTGTCATAAGAACAAATTGGTGCTTGATAGACAATCGCTGTGCCATTTGCATATACAATTGGGAGAAACTTCTCCATCTGAAAAGATTTCAGACTACTCAAGTTCAATTACAACTCAAAAGAAAAAAAAAAGCCAGCCCAAAACAAACAAACAAAAAAACAAACAAACAAGAACTTCAGCATTTTTCAAATACTCATGGCAAGAAGCTTATTAAGCCCGAGAAACAGAATAATTACTAATAAACACAGGATATATCCTGTCCACTATAAAGAGTGCTCTGCATTTTTATATTGTTTCAAAAATAGTGAGGGCAAAGAAAGTCTTCTATATAAATCAGTAAAAATCTTCATCACATTATAAATCTGTATAAATCTTCATACCATTAAAAATTGAGCTCACCTACCTTCACTGGTCCATGTTCATTACCGAAGCCCTGCACCAGTTGCACATAAGACATTATGAAAATATTCACCACTGCCCACTCTCTGTACATTTTGAATATTTTAATATCCACTGATTACTACGCAGTTGACATCAGGCAGCTAGAGAAAAAATGGTTTCAAAAGGCATTCTCCAGAAGAAGTTCAAACCCCCAGAACCTCACATGGAAAAGCGATCAGTTGTGATCAAAATCCAATGAAATGACTTCAATTAGGCAAGGTCCTTTTTTTTTTTTTTTCACAATCCTAGTGGGGGGGATTTATAAAAAAGTTTTAAAATGTTCTCATGCTCCAAAAATAATCAGGAGGTGATCATATCTCCAACCTGAAGTTAGAAAGCATTCTACATTCATTTCATGTCCAGCAAATTTTAAAAAAATTAAAAATCTCTCCACCCTAAGCCCTAGGTTCTAGTTGCTTTGTAGGGAGGTGGAGCAGCCTCCAAGGCTTGCAGCTACAGAAAGCTGGAACCCAACTCTGGATTAAAACTTTTTTTCACAACCTTCATGGAAGCTTGCAGAAGCATGTGTCTTAAATCTGACACAGATTTTGGCAGAAAATGCAGGGAAGTCTTGGCTGTAATCCTGTCCTGTTCCTACCAATAGCAGGGCAGTTTTAAAAACTGACTCCAATGCTCAGGGCTGCTGTTATTTTAAAGCAGATAACCTGTAACATGACACCTCAGCACATAGTCTTGATGGTTGTATTGCAATAGGATTGCTTAGCAAGGGACCTCAGATGTTTGTGCCTGCTGACAGTAACACAGAAACCAATCAAACAGGCTTCAAAAACCCCACATGTGTACAAAAATAACAAAACACTGATACATACCGGCAAAAAGGCAAAACATAGACAAAAGGAATTTTGTAACAGAAGCTTAATAACTTAGGTCAAAATGAAGAACACTGATTTTTAAAGATGTAGCAATTAGGTTTATTTGCATGTGCCAGGAAATATCCTACATACATTGCCACAAAAACCATGTTATCACTTTAATGTGGAATTCTTTAGAAGCACTGGCTAAGTCAGTTTTGGAAACTGAATGCCTCAAATGGCTGGACACCACAAATGGCAAAATTCTAGGAAGCATCAAGACCTATTCTGGGCTCTTCACTAGTTTCCGATCTTTGATTTCCAGGTTTTAGCCCTTTCGAACCCGTTTTTTGCATTTCTGAAATCAAGAATGGCCTCAGAAATTTCTTCATTTGTGTTCATCACAAATGGACCTAGGACAGAAAGAGACATTCAGAAAGTTATGGGTGGCGATATTTTTATCTATGTATTTGTGTAGTTTCTAATTTGAGATAAAATCTAAGTGTTTCTGAACAGCAAAAGTTTATTTTCCCAGAGGACTGTGTTACAGGTTTCCTACCTAGGATTGTATATGATCTCAGATTACTATAAAGATCAAACTTTAAATGAACAATTGCAATTGCATCTCACCCAGTCACTGAAGGTACCTCACCAGTAAGGACAATTTCTTTATTCAAAACATTCTTAGATTTGGTTCTCTATATATGCTTTACAACCATACTTTGTAGTTTTTATTTTTATAGCATTAAGTGACATCAAGAATGGCACCAATCTGATATGACAAACTGGCAAATCTGATCATAGTTTAGGTGCCTAAGCAGTATATTAGGCTATGTATGAATATGAAGGTTTTTAAAGCATTTTTGAAAATTAGCAGCATCTCATTGACAATAAACAGGAGATTACAAAATTTCCAAGTGAAGAAAGCATCATTTTTTTGATTCCCTAAGGGTCAGCAGATTATTTTCTGTGACATGCCAGAGAGCATATTATTTTAGATTCTGTGGGTCCACAGATGTCCATCTCAACTACCCAACTCTCACTGAAGCATAAAAAGGCAGCCACAGACAATATGAAAGTGACTACCTATGACTGTGTTCCAACAAAACATCATTTACGAAAACACACTGTGGACAAATTTGGGTCATGGATGATAGTTTGGTAATCTCTTTCTCGAATTCCTGGATCTGAAATCAGGTTTTGCTAAAAGTACACAAGTTCTCCCCTAATTTATCAGAAGGAAAAGTGTCTGTCTTGTCCCTTTTCTTCACACATTGTAGGGGTAATGGGGCACTGGAGTTATCTCAAGGCCCACTCTCATTTGGTAAAGGCAGTGTCTTGAAAGCAATTAACAGACTTGCCCTTTCTATATGTTTCTTCTACTAGCCTGCAGAGGCTCCTGGCATTCCTTTTCTGGAACTCTCTCCACTAAGGGTCTTCCTCTGGGAGACCCTGACTTATATATAATTTCATTACTTCAAAGGAAATAACACATTCAAATTTCTTAACCATTATTAGCATATCAACATAGATTTGGTGATCACTATAATTTAAAACTTGAAAATGAAGACACAGGATAATACACCTGACCGATGTTGAGTATCTTTGGGGAGATTATGGGAAATAGAATCCAATAGGAAGAGAAAATTCAGTAAAAGCCATCTACATTCATTCATTTGTTCTATCTATTAAGTATTTATTGAATACCCATTAAATGACAGACATTTTGCTAGAAGCTAGAGACACAGAGGTGAAAGGTGAATGACCTAGAATTTATCACACAGACATAAAAACAAAATAAAAAATCAAATTACAAAACAGTGTGATACATGGAATAATAAAAGTATGTAAAATCTACAGAATCCATATAGAAAGAGGAGGAGGAGGGAGCCAAGAAAGGATTCAGAGAAAGTGAGGTTCAGTTAAACAAAGAAGAATGGCACTGTCAGAACTATCATAATACTGGGGGAGTTCAGGATAGAGTCACAGTGCTGCAAGGCGGGAGTGAAGGGCAAAAATGAATGGGGATTTGAGATGCAGGAAGAGACCAGACACTTTTGGGCTTTGGAGGCCATCTATAGGAAGAAGTTTGGACATAATTATGTAGGTGATCAGAAAGGGTAAATAGGAAATAACATGATCTGATGTGTTACTTCTAAAGGCAATTTTGGCATTGGGGTAGAGAAGCTGTCTGGCCTGGGAAGCTGAGTCCGTCAATGGTGGAGCTAAGGGTAATGACATACAGGATGCAGGAGGCTGTTGGTAGACAAGGAGTTTGGCTCTGTATATTTTGACACAGAGGTATTAGAGACAGTAAAATGGTTTCCCAACAGAGAGGTCTTTGGCACATTGTTGGGACTATGGATCTGGGGCTCATGACAGAAATTGCATCTGGAAGTGAAGGTTTGAACTGCATCAGGCAGAAAAGAATGAGAAAGACCTTATATACTGAATAAATAATAAATCCAAAAGAGGGCAGGTGCAGTGACGCACGCCTGTAATCTCAGCAGCTCAGGAGGCTGAGGCAGAAGAATCACCAATTCAAAGCCAGCCTCAGCAACTTAGAGAAGCACTAAGCAACTCAGTGAGACCCAGTCTGAAAATAAAATACAAAATAGGGCTGGGGATGGGGCTCAGTGGTTGAGTGTCCCTGAAGTCAATTCCCAGTACCAAAATAAATAAATAAGTCCAAAAGAGGACCTTGGAGAAGCCAACTTTTTAAAGGACACAGAAGAAAGGGACATGGAAACTGGAAAATGAGATCAGGCCAAGGACCGATTTCCTGCACATCATAATTTTCCTATAGTTTGTGCTTGTGGAGCACCACTATCATGTACAAGCTATTTTTCTGTAGTATGCTTCTGGGATTCAATTTTGACACTTTCTGGGGTATTCTGCCATGTCTCTCAATTTATAATGCTCACATAAATCAAACACCTGGAAATCTTACTAAAACTCCTATTTTGACAGGAGATCTGGGGTGGGGACTAGGATTCTGTATTTCTGATTATCTCCCAACTGATGATAATCCTGCTAATCCCTGGACCACACTTGGAGAAATGAGGCTCTGATACACAGGGAAACACTAGAAGCTTAGAGCCCTGCAAAGCCATGTTCTGGAAGCTTCTCTCCTCAGAGACTCGAGAAGAAAACAGAATCCAGAAAACATCTTGGTGACAAGAGGAGCAGGGTATTTATTAACTAATTCATGAAAACAGTACTAGTTCTCACATAGTCGAGAGACAGTGGTGGCTACCTTTAAACATTCTTAGGTAAAAGGAAAACTTAAATTCTGAGCTTTAGAAGCTAAATAAACAAAATAAGCAAACAAAATGCTTTGTTTCTTAGTAACTGATATTTTAAGAGACATACTATTTTGTTAGGTTGATCTGAGTTTGTATTTGTAGGCATACCTAGTATCCCTGTGTTTCAAGCCATTGGAAGAGGATTCACATATATAAGTGTACAGTGGTCTTAAGCAGTCCCCTTTAGTCTGTTACCTAAGTCTTTTCTGTACCAGGGGTTGAACCCAGGGGTGCTTAAACGATGAGCCATAACCCCAGCCCCTCCACCCCCGCTTTTTTTTTTTTTTTTTTTTTTAAGACAAGATCTTGCTAAATTGCTGAAGCTGGTCTCAAACTTGGGATCCTCCTGCCTCAGCCTCCTGAGCCTCTGGGATTACAGGTGTGTGCCACCATGCACAGTTCTGTCACCTAATTTGGTTGGACCCCTGTTTTTCATTACAATTGCAGAGGAAATTGCCTAACTTAAAAGATTTCAATCCCACACACCTTTTTCCTACCTAAATTCTAGTCTCTACAAATAGAGATTATGGCCCTACTCAGTTTGTATGCAGCCTTCTTCTAGAAGAACAATTTCAATGCTGTTAGGTCAAGATACTACTAACTTTTGGAGTGGAAAAGTTAATATGCAAAATGGATGTCATGAACTATAGGGGTTATTATTTAATATGCCTGCTGAATTTATTAATAGAGCCAAAAAAGAATATTTGTGGGACAATCCATGTTCTTTAAACTTATGATCAGCTGGGGTTTATCTGCAATCACTGTGTATATCTGGGAATTCATGTAAGGCAAGGTAACACAATGATGGATTTTAATGCATGTTGAATTTAATAATTAGTAAAGCAAACATTTGTTTTGTAGGTATGCATCTAAATATTAAGTTGCGTTCTAGGTGCCTTTAAATGTTTCTCATTTAATCAAATGCCAATGATATGAGAAAATCAAGATTCAAAGAATTGAAGTGACTGGGTACTTAATGTCAAGATTTTCTGCCTCCAAGTAATAGTACTACTACAATGCCATAGTTACCTTATTCATTTTTGTAAGTAAAGAAGAATGGCTGGACAATTATAGAAACTTTCAAAGAAATATTATTCCTAAGAGGTCCATATTTTCATTAAAAATACAATAAACTATAAGGAAAATATCTGCTATGGTTTGAATGTGGTTTGTCCCCTCAACTCGTGTTGAAAGAAAATTTTTATTGCCATTGTGGCAATATTGGAAGTGGTGCCTTTAAGAGTTGATGAAGTCATTAAGAGGGGCTAATGCTTTTCTCTAGTGAGAGAGTTTTCATTTTTCTGCAGCTGGATAAATTACCATACGAGTCAGTTGTTTCAAGGCAAGGACTCCCCTTGTGGTTTTGCCTCTTCGGCATGCACATATTTACCTTTCTGCTTTCTTCCATGAGTTAAAACAGTATGAGGACCATACTTTGCTGCCATGCTCTTGAACTTGGCAACCTCTAGAACTGTAAGCCAAAATAAAACTCTTTTCTTCATAAATTATCTCACCTCATGTATTCTCTTATAGCAACAGAAAATAAACTAAGACAGTATTAAAACCACTATTTTTTTTTTGGTAAAGATAAAAATGATATTCAAGTCCCCAATATACTGCAGAACCTTTTTTTCAAGTTGAAATCCCCTATGATACAATACAAAAGCACTATTTGATTCTTCCCATAGCTCTATGATTAATGTGCCACATCTAAGTACTTACATTTTTTTTTTTCCAAAAAAAGCAGAAGTTAATGTAGGAATAAACACCAGATATATATTTTCCTCTGATGGTGAAGAAATGAAATAAAATCTTTAGGTTCATTGATGGAGAGTGAGGACGAAAATCTAGCCAGTCTTCTCAGTAAATCTATACATGTGCACTACTCTCAAAGAAAAAGAAAATAGACCAGGAAAATCAGCATCATTTTGGGCTTACCATGTTGAACAACTGGTTCTCTTAATGGCTCCCCAGCAATTAAGACAAAATGGCTTCTCTCAGGATCCTAAAGTTAACAAGGAAAACATATAAACATGCTTGGTTTTGAATGTCAAATTAGGAACGATTTATAGTTGACATGTTAACTAAATGAATGATGTTCATACTTCTGAGTACAAATTCCAAAAATATTTTCTGGGTAATATTCATTATGGAAACATTTATTCTTTAAGATATTTAGTAGTAACTAGAACTAAAAAATAAATTCAGGACACCAAAATATTAACATTCTCAAGTTTAACATCTTAACTGGAAACATCTTCATGGCAAACTATTTGACTGGCTTGGCTTGTTATAGAGTTCACTAACTAACGATATAATTTTTAAAAGAAAAGATTACTTACATAAGTCCAAATAAAATTAGATTTTATTTACTTTTGATATTTATTACTATTAATGTAAAATATGCCCCAGATATGTTACACCAAATGGAACCTTATAAAAACAGAGCATCCAAGGAACATCTGCTCAGGCAAGTTTCTTTCCAAAAGGGTCCTATTTTTTTTTTTTTTTTTAAGTTTTTGATTAGAATTGAGGATTTGCTGGGCATGGTGGTACAGGCCTGTAATACCAGCAGCTTGGGAGGCTGAGGTAGGAGGATTGCGAATTCAAAGTCAACCTCAGCAACAGCGAGGTACTAAGAACTCCACGGTACCTTGTCTCTAAATAAAAAACAACAAGGTACATGTATAAAGACTTAAATTGGTGTCAACATACTGTATACACAAACAGAGTTACAAAAATTGTGATATATATGTATTAAGAATTGTAATGCAAAAAAAACAAAGCATAAATAATGTATAAAAGCATATATTGTCATGAACATACTTTATATACAGAGATAAGAAAAATTGTGCCCTATGTTTATAATAAGAATTGTAATGCTTTCCACTGCTGTCGGGTAGTTAAAAAATAAAAACTAAAACAAAATAGGGCTGGGGATGTGGCTCAGTGGTTGAGTGCCCCTGAGTTCAATCCCCGGTACCAAAGGAAAAAAAAAGAGAATTGAGGATTTGATTTTTTCCCCCTGAAACTGGAAAAATATTAATTATAATATCAAGGGCTAGTATACATGCAGGGAAAGACATACTTTGATATATCTTTTGGGATATTTTGAAGTTGGTGCAGTAGTCCTTCCAGAGAACAATTTGAAAATATGATTCAAAACCTCCAATATTGCTGATGTCCTCTAATCTAATAATGCCAGTATCCCCATTGTAGAACTATTGATTACAGAAAAAATTAGAAACAATTCTCCAGTAATGAGGGATTGGTTATATGATTATACTTTTTTAAGATGAAATATTATATGGCCATTAAAAATATTTCTTTCAACAAATACTTAAGAGTGTAAATGTTCATAATGTATTGTAAGTTTTTAAAAATACCACAAAATGGTGTATGAATAGTATTTTTCACTTTTAGGAAAATAAAAATACCATATATTGAAAGATTAAGGGACAGACATACCAAAATTTTAGCACTGATTCTTTCTGAGTAATGAAAATTAAGGTGAATTTTATTCTGTTTTTCTCTTTAAAAAAAATTGCTCCAATAATATGCTGAGTGCTAATTTTAAAAGTTAAAAAGGGGGGCTAAAGGTGGAGTTTGGTGGTAGAGCCCAGTACCCCCCCAAAAAAGAAACAAAGAATGTATAAGAAAAAAATCATGTTTTTTAAAAGTTTGTGTTTAAGGAGTTATTTTATAATGCAATGCATTCAGACAAAAAAATCATATGAGCATTTCATTTTATAAAATGACATTATTTAAATATTTTAAGTAATTAACACGTTAACTGTCAGAGTCCTTTCTCTCCAAAATCATACTTATATCCTATATGAACTCTTCAACAAATTTACTTATTCCAAATGTGCTTTGATTTGAAATTAAGAACTGTAGTTCTGTTGGAAATGAATTACATATATACTTAGATATATGTGGTGCTGCTTTGTGCTCTCACAAAGTTAGTTAGCATGCTAAGAGAGAGTGCTAGTAGGTTCCAGCTTGTTCTCATTTTCCTCCACACTATTACCCGTCCTTCTTCCTGACTGCTAACCCTGCTGACCAAAAGCAACCCCAGAACCATTTTTCAGACTTTTGGCTGCAGAACTACAGAGTCTTTCAGTAGATTCTCCATCAGTTTCCCTTTAGTGGCCTCATTTCAGTAACTGGATGTGCTTTAGTATACTAGATTAATTGGATTAGTGACTTCTCTGATTTCTCAACTTCTGCTTTTATAGTTTGATTTCTACAGCTCATCCCACCTGTGAATCTTTCTCCAGGGAGCTCTCTTGTGACTGCCATCTTGTGAAGAATCCCAAGCTAGCTAAGCAGGAAGGCCACATAAAGCAGAACTGAGGCACCCCCAAACAATAGCCCCAGCTGAGCCAACCACTAGCCTTGAGTCACATGAATGACACTAGAGAAAACAGCAGATTCTCAATGATTGTGAAAAAGTATAAATTATTATTGTTTTAAGGCAAAACATTACAGGGTGGTTTGTTACTAATAGGTAATTGAACACTATGTATTTTTTTAATCTTCTCTTGGGTTTATCTAATTTAGAAAAAATAAAAAGCAAAATGATTATGTACTTTTTTTAATATTTAGTTTTTAGTTGTAGTTGGACACAATACCTTCATTTTATTTATTTTTATGTGGTGCTGAGGATTGAACCCAGGGCCTCACACATGTAGGTGAGCACACTACTGCTGAGCCACAACCCAGTCCTGATTATGCCCTTTTAAACAAAACCTTGAAAATTTCTAAAACTTCACCAATTTCCTAATAATTCAACATTTACCTAAATATCATACCATTATTTTAAACAATATCATATATTTATGTACTTCTATTAACATAAAGTTTTAGAAATCATCATAATGTTTCCAGTCCCAGATTTATTACTGGATACAACAAAGATTAATAATTAACTCTTTACTTTTCCATGTATTTAATCAAAACTGCCATATTTTATAGGACTGAAATTTGTTTCTTCTCCTGGTCTTTCAACTTCAAAAAAATTAAATGGGAAAGTAAAGTAGATGGTTTCTTCAACCCCAGGGCAGGTATCATTTAATACATCCACTTAGTTGATGATTTAATCACTTTTTCATGTTAAAAAATATTTGTTCAGGACTGGGATCATGGCTCAGTGGTGAGTGCTTGCCTCACATGTGTGAGGCACTGGGTTCGATCCTCAGCATCACATTAAAAAAAAATAAAATTAAAGAAAATTTGTTCGATCGTTCCCAAGGTGCATATCTATGCATCATTATCTTTTCTATCCATAATCCAACTAGCTTTCAAAATGTGTAAATGCGAACCAGCTGAAAATCAAGGAGTAAACCTAAAACAGCTTCTGCTAATTTAAATGTTTAAAAATAGCTGGCCCATTAACTAAAATTATTTCTTCAGTTTTAGCATAGATCCTCACTCAATCCCTACTTATTCTTGCTTGATACACAATTCTAACTTTTAGACTTCATGGTTATTAGATTTATAAAAGATGCAAAGCAAGACAGGAAAGCACTACTGTATAACAATACAAAAAAAAACTTGACAGCTTAACATCAATGACAAAAATGAAAAATAAAAAAAAACCTATGAAAAAGAGGCACATGAGCTTAAAAATTTGTCTAGACCCATTTAATATAGAAGCAAGCAAGCCCTGAAGACTTCATAGTTGGGCAATATATACTGATAACCCAAGGTTATGAATAAGTTAAATTATGCATCATATAAGTCCACAGGAAAGGGGAAGGTTCCTTTTTCTTTTTTTTTTTGAAATGCATATGACCTCAAGATTTTATTATCTAAAATGAAGCACAAAACTGGATTGTTTGGCCCTTTCTCTTATCTCCTTCCAATTCAAAATACTTGCATTTCTTAATACTACCAATTTCTTAGATCTGTAGTTGGGTTCAATACACTCAAGGCTCAAGACAATCTTTACAGTTTTAGCCTTCTTCCAAAAAATTGGCCTAGTCTACCCACCATAGCCAGTGTTTCCTGTCATAATGCTACTTTCCCTGGGCACACAGAGAACATTTACCATGTTTTGGGGAATGCTTCTAGCATGGAAAGAAGCAGGGAAAGGTTTCTATCTGAAATGATTTCTTTCTTTTTTTTTTTTCCAATGTGACTACATTAGTTTTAGATCATAAAAACTCAATAATAATTTTAATTTTAATTAATTTTTAATTTAATTGTCACTTATCACTAAAGATTCATTCTTTGATGGTTTTGGAGAGATGAAATTTTAGTGCGAAACAACAGACCTTATTTATAAGTTGATCTGAAAGAGGAAGTCATTTAATAGTGTTTGGGGGTGTTTTTTAGTAGGGGCAAGGAGATATACTTGAGTTCCAGGGTCAGGAAGCAGAGGAGAAAGGATTAGGGGTTAAGAGAAGAAAGGCTGATCTCCTATATGGTGTATGTGCTTCTCATTTCTTAATTCAAAAGAGATTTTTCTTGACTGGTAAGCATGTCCTAAACTTTGGAATGATAAAGTCTTGAAAATAATAAGTTTGTTCTTTTGATATTACTCAAATAAAATGACTTTCCAATTATTATCTGGGCAGGAGGATACAAAGACATGTGCATTTTGTGTGAAAATGCAAAACTATTAAACTCCTGGGAATTGGCGGATTGGGTTTATCTAATCACTGCAGAAATCCACAGGATGGTCCACATTTCTTTCAATGACTTTTCTACAAATTTAACCTCTGAGTGGTGGCTTCCTCTCCTGTAATCTAAACTAGATCCATTTTGTGTCTTTTCAAAAAATATATATCGTTTTTGCTTCCCTTAACTAGTCTTCTTTGGTAAACTCTGGTTATTGTTTTGGATATTCAGTAGAGCACTGATGTGATTTGAAATCCCAGTTACTGTTATCTTGAAACTGCTCATCTACAGTGACCTTGCAAATGGTGGAAGATGATGAAAATCATGCAACAGCAAAGAAAATGAAAGACCTGCTTAAGACATGAGTCCTGGCGTGGCTCTAAGTAAATGTCTTTGTGGAGTTTAATGAAAATACAAAGATAACAGAGGCCCACTTACTACACATAGAATAACCACAACTAAAATTCATGATCTTTGGAGGCTGAGGTCATGTCTTTTACTTTAGTGTACATTTTCAGAGTTTCTGGCTCAGAGTTAGGCCCTTTGCACCTTACTTTAAAACTTACTTTTTAAAATTTGTTTTATTTGTTTTAATTAGTTACACATGACAGTACATTGACCTTGACGTATCATACATTTGAATCAGATGGAATATAATTTTTCATTTTTCTGAGTGTACAGGTTGCAGAATCACATTGGTCATGCATTCACATATATACACACAGTAATAATAATGTCTGTTTCATTCTACTATCCTTCCTATCCCCTCATCTCCTCCCCTTCCCTCCCATCACTTCTCTCTACCTAATCTAAGGTAACACTATTCTTTTTTTTCCCTCACATCTTCATACATGTATTTTGAATAACAATGAGGGTCTCCTGCCACCATTCATGCAATTCCCCTTCTCCCTCCCTTTCTAATCTTCTTCCCATGCTCTTCCTCCCTACCCCATTTTGAGTCATTCCCCCCCCGCCCCGCCGCCCTTTATATCAGAGAAGACATTCGGCATTTGTTTTTGGGGGATTGGCTAACTTCACTTAGCAAAATCTGCTCTAATGCCTTCCATTTCCCTGCAAATGCCATGATCTTGTTATTTTTTAGTGCTGAGTAATATTCCATTGTGTATAAATGCCACATTTTTTTTTATCCATTCATCTATTGAAGGGCATCTAGGCTGGCTCCACAGTCTAGCTATTGTGAATTGTGCTGCTATAAACATTGATGTGACTGTGTCCCTGTAGTATGCTGGTTTTAGGTCCTTTGGGTATAGACCAAGAAGAGGAATAGCTGGGTCAAATGGTGGTTCCATTCCCAGCTTTCCAAGGAATCTTCATACTGCTTTCCATATTGGCTGCACCAATTTGCAGTCCCACCAGCAATGTATGAGTGTGCCTTTTTTCCACATCCTCACCAGCACTTGTTGTTGTTTGACTTCATAATGGCTGCCATTTTAAAACTTACTTTTAATAGCTGGGTACAGTGGCACATGCCTGTAATCCCAGCAACTCAGGAGGCTGACGCAGGAGGATGGCAAGTTTGAGGCTAGCCTCAGCAATTTAGCAAGGCCATAAGCATCCTAGCAAGAGCCTGTCTCAAAATAAAAATATACAAAGGGCTGGGGATGTGGCTCAGTGGTTAAGGCCCCTGGGTTCAATCCCCAGTACTAAAAGGATAAAAAGAAACTTACTTTTAAAAATTGCTTGTTATTCCATAAGTATTATTGCCAAAATATGTCTTGAGTTCCACTGATACTAACAACAGATGATTAAAGTCCAGATGAGAGTCCTATGATTCATTTAATGTGTTAATAACTTCTAAACTATGCCTTTCTTGGTTTGTGTGATTGATTATAAATACAAAGTTTGGGATAATAGCAGGACTTTGAGAATTAATCAAAGGGCATGCTTTTGCTATAGTAGCATTTTTCATAGTCACATATTACATTAAAAATGACCAGAAAGGAACTGAACTTTAGCATGGCTTAATTGCATACACTTGTTCTTACTAGAATTCATTGTTTATACTTCTTAGGCCAATGGAAAGATAAAACAATTAACTGCAGTTTTTAAAAATTAGTGGTTTCTTTCATCATGAAATTTTTACACATAAATAAGCAAAAATGGGGTATTTTATTTCTCTTTCCATAGTTATTTTTTTAAATATTTATTTAGTTGTAGATGAATACACAGTATCTTTATTTATTTTTATGTGGTGCTGAGGATTGAACCTGAGTGCCTCACACATGTGAAGCAAGTGCTTTACCACTGAGCCCCAGCCCCAGCCCCTCCATAGTTATTTTAATCAAATATTATATATATATATATATATATTTGGTACCAGGGATTGAACTCAGGGGCACTCAACCACTGAGCAACATCCCCAGCTCTATTTTGTATTTAGAGACAGGGTCTCACTGAGTTGCTTAGGGCCTAGCTTTTGCCGAGGTTGGCTTTGAACTCGCGATCCTCCTGCATTAGCCTCTCAAGCCACTGGGATTACAGGTGTGCACTACTGAGCCTGGCTGAAATGTTATATTTAATCAAATATTCATGTCTTTATTTTAGTGAATTCTGCACAAATGGTGCCAGCTTGAGAGACTGGTTACTCCCAAGAATGGTTCTGAAGATAGTCAATGAGGATTTGATTGTTTACCTCAGTATACTACAGGTGAGACTGTTAATAATAAATAGAAAACTAGTATAAACAGGGTCTAAAGGTGAGATGGAGTGTTTCATATCAAACTTATGTGCTCCTTATCATAGAGCCATCAGGACAAACATCTCTCAGGAGAAAGTTCAGAGCAACAACTGGGAGGCCCAAGCAGCAAAGGGAGCCTTAGCCCTTGAAACAGACCATTCCAGGGTGACTGGTCCAGGATGAAATGTCCTGGGTAGCCTGAGGTCGATTCTAATCTCTAAGATTGGCCCCTCTAGAGGAAACTTTCCCCATCACTGTTAACCAAGAAGACAGGCATGATGCTGAGTCAGGGTCCCTTAGGGACTTTTTTTAGCTGTAGAAATTGCCTTCAAGCCTAGGTAGGGTATGTACAGATCCTTATGATATAACATGTACGTGATATAAGTGTCTGTTAAATGAGGTATTTGGATCAGTAAACTCTCCAGCTACCATTTTTGGGCACCTCCAATATATTACACCAAGGATTGGCAAGCTTTCTCTGTAAAGGGCAGAGAATTTTAGGCTTTGTGGGAACACAGCAACTCAATTCTACCTTTACGGTGTGACAGAATCCATAGACTATACAGAAAAGAATAGATGTGACTGTGATACAATAAAACTTTATTTATGAAGACATATTTGGATTTGGCCTAGTACACATTATTTACTGACCCCCGTGCTAGATATAAATAGACTCTTAGATCATTCCAAATATTCTTAACAATCTCTGCAGTTGGCCTCAGTTATTTCAATTTTTTATACCTTTTAATTAATTAATTAATTAATTAATTAATTTTTTTATGTGGTGCTGAGGCTTGAACCCATGGCCTTGCACATGCTAGGCAAGCACTCTACTGCTGAGTCACAACCCCAACCCCTTATTTCAATTAAAAAAATTTTTTTAAATTGTAAGTGGACAGATACATACCTTTATTTTTTATTTATTTATACGTGGTGCTGAGGATTGAACCCAGTCCCTCATACGTGCTAGTTGCACTGCTAAGCCACAACCCCAGCCCACTAAAGTGTCATAACGAACAAGTGGCAAAGCCAAGATTCAAATCTTTACAATCCCTTTACTGATGTTATCTAAGGGGAAATTTCTACTCTCTTGTGGATAGAACATGCACTCTTTAAATGCTAATTTTTAAAAACCAGTTTTTAGATAGAAATCTTTCTAAGGTTTGGATGGTGCAGGCTATAGCTTATACACAGAACAATGGCAGAATAGTTCTTTGAACCAGGAGTGCTGCTTGCCCATGTGTTGATGATTTTTAGCTAATTCCTTTCTATCCCAGTTGTCCCCTGTGCTCTGACTCCCCTCATCATTTCTTCCTGGTGTTCCATTTTACCTTCTAAATCCTTATTATCTGCAAAGAAATGAGGCTGCTAAGTTAAATAATATTGCAAGCTAATCTGACATCAGTAGATTCTGGCCCATGTATAGCTTTCATGCCTCTTTTCTGAATTGGAGTGAAATATGTGAAAGTGCATTTTTGTAGGTCAAAAATGGCAATTTCATATGGTTCGACCTAACATTCAGGGCATTGATTCTGAGATATGCACTCTTTCTGGTGCTCATGAGATTTTTCTCCTATTTACTTTACAGTTCATGGAGGTGCTGCAAATGAGGAAAGCAGCAGAAAGTGACTTCCAGGAAGGTGGGCTAAGATATGATAATTCCTAAAATCCATTACACTCTGTACGACAAGGGTCGGGGGTCAGAAATGAGTCACACTACCTCTCTATCAGTCACTGGCACACTGAAATAGTTCTCATTTCTACTTCTCAAAACTCATCTTTTCAGAAGCTTTTGCACAATTGTCTCTTTAATCTTTTCTATTAGAGTGACCCAAAGTCATCCCATTGCATTAACAGACTCACAAGAAGGTGAGCGAGCCACTCAATAGAATGAAATAGACATGAGAAAGAAGCTTGGCAACCTGGACAAAATACCTCTCGGGACTTTTAAAATATTAACCTTTACTTATAAAACAGAGAATCATCCAAAAAAGGAGATGAAACACATCCCATGGCCCCCTCAGTTCCAAATGGGGATTATTTTCAAATGGCTCTATGTGAGTATGCGTGCAGGTCAATATTTACACTTCTAGAGGGCCAAATCATTTTTACTTATGCTAAAAGCAAAATAAACCAGTTTTACAAAGGATGAAAATTAAAGACAACATACACAAAACTTTAAAATAAATGAATAAAAAATAGCATAAATTAATGAAAGGGATTGATAAATTTGTGGCATAATTTACTCTCCCAGGAAGAAAGAACAATTTCCAGCTATACAAGGGATTGAAGGAGGGCTGGGGTTGTGGCTCAGCAGTAGAGCACTTGCCTAGCACGTGCAAGGCCCCTGGGTTCGATCCTCAGCACCACATAAAAATAAATAAATAGATAAGTAAGTAAGTAAATAAATAAATAGATTGAAGTATTTTCCTAGAAACTAGCAGGAAGTACAAGTTAAGAAAAGTAAAGATTTCTAATACGTACCTTATTCTCCACCTGGACACTGTCACCTTCTCCAAGCACTGCTGTGTGATGAGGTTCTATTTTCTGTTGAGCATCATCAGGCCCTACAAAAAAAAAAGAAAAAAGATGACCCACTAACTTTAAGACTTATTATAGTACATTTATCCTATGATTGCATATTTGGGCAAACATTTAGTACCATATTAGTTTTAATTTCCAAAATAACAGACTTAGGGATCTCCTCAAACCTCTTGATCAGGTAGATTTGACACTACCAAAGTCTGAAACTGGTTGCTTTTCAATATAGATGAGAACAGGGAAGTGAGTCCTGCATTGTGTTTCCATTTATAGTTCAATGGATAAGCAAAGTCCTTGGCATTACATGTTCCTAAAAGTGTTTCCTTGGGAAAATTATAAACCCCAGAAAAAGTAATCATACCTAGGAAAATTATCAAATTCCATCATTTATTCATTTCAATGCAATGTTTACTGAGTACCTACAATTGCCTAGTATCATGGGAAAATACAAAATGTGCAAAGCAGACTTCTTGCTTACAAATAATTAAAAATCTCATTAGGATTGAGTGCGGTGGCACACGCATGTAATCCTAGTGACTCTGGAGGCTGAGGCAGGAGAATTGCAAATTCAATGCCAGTCTTAGCAACTTAGTGAGGCCCTAAGTAACTCAGTGAGACCCTGTCTCAAAAATAAATAAAAAGGGCTGGGCATGTAGCTCAGTGGTAAAGTGCCCCTGGGTTCAATCCCTGATAGAAAAAACAAAAATCTCATTGGAGCAAACAAAATACATACACAAAATAATCAGAGAATAATTCGACTGAAAAATAAATAGCTATTGAATAATAGCTATTGAACTACGAACAGGACCCTATTCTAAGTGCTGTAGAGGGTATCTTCAGGATAGATAAGTTTTCATTCCTTCTGTATTGACGTATTGATGTTTCATTCCTTCTGTATTGACTGTATTGAAAGAACAAATGAAATTGACTTTTCAAGGCAACAAAAAAGTTGATTGTGAAAACAGGGGCTGCAGGGCTCATTCAGGTCTAGGGACTCCAGAAATTTGTTGTGGAGGAGATAACACTTAAACAGAGCTCTGCAGAACTAGGATAAATCTGCAAGAAGCAAAGTCGGGAAAAGGGAAATTCTAGACAAGAAGACAGACCGTGGGGAAGGTAATGCAGGAACATTTCTGGGGAAACTGTGGACCTCCCACCATTGCTCAAACATGCTTCTAGAATGACCGAAATGGAGGCTGGCTTTAGATTTGGCAATAAAAGAAAAGTCTGGGAATTAAAGAAGAACCTCATTTAGAGTTGGATGATATTTTTAACTGTGATGTGGAGCAGCATTTTATTGGGTGTGTTTTATTGAGATCCCCTGGGAGCAATGAACCATGTCTTTCTTTATTTTCATCTTATTCATATATAGCCCCCATTACCCGTGTGGTTCCTTTCTGGCCCCTAAGTTTGTCATATAGCGTGTTTCATGATACATAGACCAAAATAGTTTACAAACTCCTTTGCTATGCGTTAATGGAGTGAGCTGACAAGAGACAGCACTCGAAATACCGAGTTGGTATTTCTCTGCACCCCTTATCAGGGTGGCTTGCTCTACTGCAGTGCTCATTGATTTGTGAGGAAATCTTAATTTAGAAACCAAGAATTGAGCTGTCTGAAGGGCTCTAATCCTAACTTTACATGGGGTGCGACTTCTGCCCGTGCTCCCTGCTGATGTATGAAAGTGTCAGTACTGGAGAGGCCATTCAAAATGTTTCACCCTGAGATAGACCTTTCTTATAGACACTGGAGTCAGGTTTCCACTGTAATAATTCTAAATGTACCTCTAGCTTCTGCATTGTTACATGAAATGCTTAAAACAAGGGGTCATAGAAGGCAAAGACTGATTTCATCTTCATTTCTAGGTCATTTCTATGATATTTTTCCCAATCTAGTTATCTCCTGAACCTAAAATTGGTCTCAAAGGAAATATATCTTATTGTTTCTGATTACTTTCTATTATAAATAGGGCCAAATCAGATAATAAATAGTTTCCATTGGGAATCTGTGCCAAAGAATGTTCAATCTAATAGGATAGTTAAGGAAAATTTAGCCGAAGATGATTTAATTGCAAATTTTTTACCTAAACCATCATAAAAGAGCAAAAATACTTGAAAATCTATTTTAAACTCAGGGCTGGGGCTGGGATTGTAGCTCAGTGGTAGAGCACTTGCCTAGCATGTGTGAGGTACTGGGTTTGATTCTCAGTACCACATATAAATAAATAAATAAAATAAAGGTATTGTGTCCATCTACAACTAAAAAATTCTTTTTTTTAATTTTTTTTTTTTTTAGCTGTCAATGGACCTTTATTTTATTTATATGTGGTGCTAAGAATCGAACCCAGGACCTCACACATGCTAGGCAAGCACTCTACCACTGAGCCACAACCCCAGCCCCTAAAAAATTCTTTTATTAAAAAAAGTGCCATTAACTGCTGTACATCCCTTCTGCATATGCCATCTGGTCTTTTTCTTTTTCTTCTCTTTATGAGAACTGCTGTCCCACTTACTCTGTGTCCCACACATTCTAGTACTTCCATCATATTTTGACACCACTAATTTTATGTATATAGTTGAAGATCCCTTATCTGATACAATCAAGACTGTTAATCAAAAAACAGAAACTTCCTTAAACATTTCATTTTAAATTGAAGTGTAAATGTGCATTAGTTTTTGAATTTTTATGAATACAGCTAAAATGGGTCTACTGACTGGATTGAAGCATTGTCTTTCTTTGTAAGACATACCCATGTGGCATCACCTAAATCCTTCTGGTTTATTACAGTTTCCCCTAATCTTTGCCATCTGTCTCATTCATATTGATTTGAAGACATTTTCTTCAGCAACTTACTTTTACAAAGCATCTGTCTTAGTCTTTCTAGAATACCATCTCTCTTTTCACATTTATTTCTTTGCTTTACATATTAATTAAATTACATAGTTGCAATTAATGGTGCAACTGGCACAAACAAATGGAGAACAAAAACAACTGCCTTGGAGTCCAGTACAGCTCAGCTGGTGGAAAGACCTGATCATCCTAGCTGTGAGGTACATCCCTCACAGTATTCACTATGGAATGCAAGAGCACCAGTCAATCCAGTTAATTGAGTAAGTGGAGGTCAATTAAGAGCACTTCTGGTATATATGTGTGCTTGCCCACTTTTATTGTAATATCCAAGGACCATGTCAAGTTTCTTAATACCACTCAGAATTAGGAACCAAAGGTTGAATACCAACTAAGTTTAAGTGGGACCATTCTGCCTTTGTAAGCCAGTTAGCTGTCATTTCAGTACCACAGATAAATGTTTTTAGATTTCTAAATGCCTTTTTCTCAGCACCAACATTATACTTGATATTGGTCCTTTTAGGGCACTGGCATTCAAACTGATAAAACCAGAGCAAGCTTCAAGGACATGACACATAAACTCTTTCACCCTTTTGATCTCTGCATTAATGTGTAATTTTCATCATAGCTGCAGGGAAGGGGCTCAGTAGTAGTACCTCTGGGATCTATTAGTTTTCTGACCATACAGTTTTTATATTCTTTTGATTTTTTTCTTTTTATCACATTCTGCACAGAATCCAGCTGAGGTGATGGTCAAAGGACTTTCTGCCTCAATAAGAGACTGTCATCAAAGGCAACAGTTGACTTAGAAAGCTTTTCCAATGTTAAAGAAAGCAAATGTATCAAAATTTACAAAAAGCCTTGAAAAACATACCATGGATACTTTCAAATGAATCTTGAATCTAGTAAGAAAGTGCTAATTTTATTCATCTTATATTAGCACTGTTAACAGCTTTTCTTCAGGGTGTTATTAGAAGACAGTTAAATGATCTTACCGTACTTACCTTGAACTTTAAAATGGATGACTAACCTTGACAAGTAGATGTCCACTCTTTCCCATCATTCAAAACTGCATCTGTTTACAGTCAAACTAAATGTACCAATGTCTATTTTTAAGTAGTCCTGTATCAATACTTTTTTTGTTGTTGTTGTTGTTACTGGGGATTGAACTCAGGGGTGCTTTACCAATGAGCCACACCCCCAGGCCTGTTTATGTTTTATTTTGAGAAATAGGATCTTGAAGAGTTGCTTAGGGCCTCACTAAGTCGATGAGACTGGCTTTGAACTTGTGATCCTCCTGCCTCAGCCTCTTGAGTCCCTGGGATCGATGAATACTTTTAAGAGCCTTCTTAAATTTCTACTTTGTGAAGTCTCCCCAGATTATTTTCTCAATCCAAATTGCAGCCTATTTTACTGCAGCTTAATACACTAATTATTTTTACATGTATTTTTATTGGTATAATTATATATCATAATGGGTTCATTATATCAAAGCTGTATATCCACATAACATAATTTGCTCAATCTTCTTCCTCAGTACCTTCTCTTTCCCTCCCACCTCTGTCCTTTTGATCTACCTGCTCTAGTCTACTGATCGCCCTTCTATTATTACTTTAATTAGTTCATTTTATATATATATATATATATATATATATATATATATATATATATATACACACATATAAATAAAATGGGGAATCATTGTGATATATTTGTACATGGACATAGCATAATTTGGTAGAATTCATTCCCCAGTACTTCCTCTTGCCCATATTTATCACACCTACTTCAACAGAATGGAGGTGCTTATTAACATTTCAAAAAGAACAATTACTTGTTTATCAGTTCCTGCCATCTGTAGTTGGCTGGTGCCAATCTAGTTTTATAAGCAAGATAAAATCAAAGCAGTAAAATCGGAAAGCATTTTCTAGATTCTATATAAATTTTATAAGTCAGAACACATTCAATAGCTCTTTCTGTTTTGCCGTTTCTTTTCTCCGTGATTGTTCTTGACTCTTTTTTTTTAACACCCCTATTAGAGATTGGGTAAGAAGAAGGGAAGGAAGTAAAATTCAAATGAGGTCCTCATAAAATTCAAATGAGATAAAATTCAAATGGGGTTGCTCATTAATTCAAGCAGAGTCCTAAGAGGCTAGTTTTGTGAGCTGGATTCTGTCCATGGTCCCGCTTGCTCTGGATAGATGCAACTTCACTCCAAGACTACAGACCACACTCTATCTTTTTTTTTTTTTTTTGCCGGGGGGGGGGGGGG